TTCCTTCCACAAATATTTATTGAGTTCTTTCTATGTGCCAGGCTTTGTTAATGTGAGGAATAATACAATGGTGAGAAAATCTCCATGTCTGGGTGTGTCCAGCCGACCTTGCCCCATTCTTCTGTGGTTCATTATCTTGTGCCACCATTCTTATACTCTGCGGTGGCCCTGCTCCTTACTTCCTGCTTCACTGGGATTTGGCATTTAACTGTTTCCTGCCCACACTGGAAATTTTCATCTGCAATTTTTCTTCTGCCTACAACAACAAACATATATATTTTCTTATGCAGTTTTTCTTTTGCCTAGTACCACCAATTCATTTTTCCCTTTTAAATAATAATGCAAACATGCAAATCTTAAAATATTTCTGTTGTTGATATGTTCTGGGTCACTATTTTGGAAATAACATCATGGGAATATGGTGTTAATGTGCAAAAATCACCCCCTGGGTTGAGAGGATCTTTGAAAGATGTCTTAATAATGGGGGCATTTTCAACTGATAAAATACAGGCTCATAGCATCTGAAACATTATTAGTATTCTTTCAAGAGCAGACATCAATCTCAGAAATCTTGTGTACAAACATGACAAAATTAGAGGGGGTATATCTCAGTGGTAGAGCATTTGACTGCACAAACATGACAAAATTGGTCTGTATTACACTCTGATAAAATCACAAAATGATTTTATTTTCTTCACTTGTTTATGAATGTGAAATATTTGCATATTATTACAGTAACTTCCACAGTAGTTGGAATGAAATCTGATACATTGTTAATGGTGTAGTTAAAAATGTGTGCATTGCATCCATATTTTGTGGCAGTTTTCCAGCAGTTTTTTGAAAGGATTCTTAAACCTTGCATGTTTTATCATCAGGCTTGGCAAATAGACACCATCCATGCTTCAGGTTACTTCTTCCAGGGCCCGTGATAGATCACAACATTTTGTCTCGCTGAGCTTGACAGTCTTACGTCCCCTTCAACATAGTGATCCGGGCTGTTGCTAACTAAGTGCAAATAGTGAGATGCAAGCTACGTGTCATATCAGTTTTGCACCCTAACCATCAGAATCAGCAGAGGATACCAAAATGTCTGCCGAAGGCAAAGGTTGGCCAGTCTGGGGGACAAAGGGCCAGAACAGTAAGTATGTTAGGCTTTGTGGGTCATATGGTCTCTGTTGTTCCACTGTAGTGCCAAAGCTGCCATAGGCAGTATGGGAATGAATGGGTATGGCCGTATTCCGGTAAAACTTCATTTATAGGAACGGGCGGCAGGCCCCATTTGGCCCACAAGCCAGACCTTGCTAGCCTCTGGTTTATTTATTTTTTTAAATTTTTTAAAAAAGGTTTATTTATTTATTTGACAGAGAGAGAGAGAGAGAGAGAACAGCAGGGGGAGCGGCAGGCAGAGGGAGAGGGAGAAGCAGGCTCCCCATTGAGCGGGGAGCCCGATGTGGGGCTCGATCCCAGGACCCTGGGATCATGACCTGAGCCGAAGGCAGATGCTTAACGACTGAAACACCCAGGTGCCTCTGGCCTCTGGTTTAAATCACTGCTACTCAAAGTGGACTCTGTGGACAAGAGCTATCAACGTCATCTATATGCTTGTTAGAAATGCGGATTCTCGTTCTGCACCCTAGACTCACTGGATCAGAATCTCTGGGGATGGGGCCCAGGAATCTGCATGTTTACTAGCTGGCAAGGTGATTCTGATGCCCACTAAAGTTTGAGAGCCCCTAGTTTAAATAACATGGCACTTCTCTTCTTGAAAAGCTTTGTAGAAGTCAGTCGTGAAACCACCTCATGCATTTCGATCTTTAACCACTTTTCCTGTCTCTTCTATGGCATTTGATTTATTCAAGCTTTCCACTTCATGGGTCATTTTTGGGAATTCACATTTTGCTAGAAAATGATCTGTTTCCTCTTGGCTTCAGATTTGTTGCTGATGGTGGTTTTAAAGCAATTCTGTGAAACTTTTGACATTCCTATTAAGACATGGATTTCTGTTCACTCCCCTTGGATCTAGGCAGGCTTATGACCGTTTCATCCAGTAGAGTTCTGGCTGAAGCAATGCCATGTAACTTCCAAGGCTGGTTCAGACAAGACGACGCAGCTTTCACCCAGTTCTTAGAGGGTGTGGGGGAAGTTGGCTGACTCGGTCTCCGCCCTGGGGGCGTGGCCACGTGTAAGCTCCCAGCTGTCAGCGAGCACAGTCAAGTGAGCCATCTTGGACACACAGTCTAATTGAACCCTCAGATGGCGGCCACCCTGCTGGCATCTCAGTGAAGTCACATGAAAGACGTTCCCCCAGATGAGCCTTTCCTCACTTGCTGACTGATAGAATCTGTGAGCACAGTCCCTGCTGTTTTAAGCCACTAAGTTTGGGGGTGGTTGTTATGCCACAATGGTGCCTGGGAAAGTTACCCTAGACTTGCCAGTATTATTGTTTTATAATGATCTTCCTGTCCTTCTTATCTGTGCTTGTGATTTCTTTCATACTCTTAATCATATATATTTTGCTCTCAATTTTCTTTAATTAGAGTTGAAGGGGTTTTATTTATTTTATTAATCACGTCAAAGAATCAGTTTTTAGATTTTTTTATTCTACTATTTGAGATATTTCTGTTTCATTAGTTGAAGTTTTACCTTTATTCATTTCTTTGTTCCTACTTTCTGCTTATTTAATTGTTCTTTTCCTAGTTGCTAAAGGTGAGTAGGAGGTTAATTTCCTTTTTCCTTTCTCTTCTTTCATAGGAAGTACATTAGAAGCCATAAGATTTTTTCTGAGTATAGCTTTCACCTGTGTCCCATAAATTTGGGAGGAAATATTTTCCTCTTCGTAGTTTTCTGGCAAGTTTGTAATTTTAATTTTGGTTTTCTTTTTATCAAAGCATTTTGGAGAGTGTTTCTAAATTAAGTAAAGTTTTTCTTGTTTCTGGGGTAGAGGGAAGATCTTCCATTTTTCCAACATCTATAATAAGGACCTATTTCTCTACTACAAGAAAACAAAATTCCAACTGTTTTCTCCAGCAGGACCTTCCCTTCTTCCCTTACCAGTAAGTTTGCGTTACGCTTCGGAGTGCTTTTACTTCCTGACTCCCCCATGTGAGTGTTTTAAATGCTTTTGCTTCTGCTGTCTCCCTATGCCTGACTTCACAAACCTAAGCTGTTTTTTTTTTCCCCAATAGTTTAGTAATATTTGTTTCAGACTATGATTAGGTTCTTATCCATTATTTAGCTCTGATATTGTATGTTCTCATTCCCTTTTCAAGGTACTGTGTGATGCTCCTCCATTCTTCTCTCCATAGATGCAAAGGCTTTCTTCGAACCTAAGAAACAGTCAGGACGTAGCACACCTTTTTGTCCCCCACTCCCACCAGCCTCAAGACCTACTGGAAAATGCTTAATAAATAATATGCTTATTTTAATTCTACTCCTGATTTATTTGGGTGTATTTTATAACCCAAATGTTTTGTTTAGAGTGTTGATTTCATTGAAAACTTTGGAAAGAAATATTGCTACACATGCAAAGTTACAGGATGGAAATCAACTATAGTTACATGGAAGGTTTTCATTAAAAATGTCTCTTGCTATATATCTCAAAGAGATAAAGGTTTAATAACTCAACCCTTATCCTTGAAATGAGAAGTATACTTAAGGTAGATTGGATTATACCATTTAATGTTTGAATATGTTGTAGTAAGTGCCATGTAGATTTGTTTGGGATGTTGAAGGTCATTCATTTTAAGCTCCTATTTAGGGAAAAATCCATCCTCCTCATTTCCCAACTCCTGTGTAGTAACTTCTGCCCTTTTATGGAGTTAAATGGATTTCCTTTCCTGCTTCCTTGGGCAAACATGCTTTCCCATGTCTTATAATATTTTTCCTTAAGTAACCTATTGAGACATTTTGTGTTCCAATTTCAAAGGTGTATCAACTAATTTTTTAATTAAACATGATCTAAACTTTGGTAAATCAAAAATTGGGATTAATAGTTAGCTTTTTTTCTTACCAAAGTTGGAAAAGCTTACTCTTTTTATCTTGTCCTTTATACCTTTGTTTTTTCTGCCTTGCACTAAAATTATTTGTATTCATGCTACATTATTTACTTTTATATAAAGGGTCAAGGACCTCACTATTTGTTTCCTTCATAGGGCCCCAATAATTCCTTACACGTAGTGGGAGCTTGACCAATATTATTAAATAAACAACTGAATAAATACTTGTAACTGCCATTGTGATAATAGTGAAGTGATTTTAGTAATGGTCCTACAATTTTGCCATGGTAACTTTTTTTTTTAATTATATGGAATATCCTGTTATAGCAAAATTATTTTCTGTATATAATCAAAATATAGTACATAGTACATATACACAGAAGGCAAAATTCTGAGAAGCCTGTTCATATATGGATCTCAAAATCTTTGGATACTTAATAGTTCTTCCACTATCCCGATATGGCAAGAGCAATGAGGTAAGTAATAATTTAGCTCTTCAGCGCAGATGAAACATGCATATGTGATAGAATATTACTTCTTTTACCTCTCCAAAGCATCTAGAGCAGACTTTGACCAAGTTTTGATAATTCCTACCAATGCCATTTGGTGTTGGGGAAGTGGGGAAATTATATGACAGACATAGGGCAAAATTGGGGACTGGAGAGCACTCGGTACCTTGGAAATCTGCAGAGGCAGGTACTTTGGACAATAAATGGATTTAGTCACTGGGCACTGGGGATTGCATGGGATTGACTGTTGATCCCAGAGGAAGAGAGTAAATAAGGATAAGAGAAACAATAATATCTAAGCAACAAACCAGATAACTTTCAAATTTATGTCTAAGCTTTGCTGATAGTTGATGTATCAAATATTTTAGCAGCTTGTCTTCCACCCAGACTGGGTAAATAGTAGTAAAAAGGAAACCGATTATGACAAATTCTTCTTTTTTTTTTGTAGTTTTATGGATTTATTAACACAAATACTATGTGCACATAAGCTTTCTATTCATTTTCTTTGCTGTGCAGCCTGGCATTGGGAATTGGTGACTCTGTTGGCCAGCTGGGCTGCTCTTTCCACAATGGCTTTGTGGTTCTTAGAGGAGATAATGTGAGCAATCTCTGCATAGTAAGATTTGTTGCACGTCACCAGCACTTCAACCTCCTTGACGTTATGGACTAGGAACTTCCAGAAGCCACTGGGCAGCATGTGTGTTGTTTTCTTGTTGCTCCTGCAACCAATATTGGGCAACAAGATCTGGCCTTTGAATCTTCTGTGCACTCTATTGTCAATGCCTCTGGGTTTCTGCCGGTTGCACTTAATTTTGATATATTGGTCTGTTTGGTTCCGGATGAACTTCTTGGTTTTCTTTTTTTTTTTTTTTAAAGATTTTATTTATTTATTTATTTGATAGAGAGATACACAGCGAGAGAGGGAACACAAGCAGGGGAGTGGCAGAGGGAGAAGCAGGCTTCCTGCTGAGCAGGGAGCCCGATGCAGGGCTCAATTCCAGGACCCTGGGATCATGTTCTTGGTCTTCTTTTTAACAATCTTGGGCTTCACCAGAGGTCTGAGGGTGGCCATGATGCCGAATAGGAGATGGCTGTCACCTCTGAAGGCAGGGCAGAGGAAGAGAGCTATGACCAGTTCTTAATTTGTATTGTTTGAATTTCCATTCAAGTCTATAGTTGTTTGTTTGGTTTTTTTTAAGATTTTATTTATTTGACAGAGAGAGACACAGTGAGAGAGGGAACACAAGCAGGGGGAGTGGGAGAGGGAGAAGCAGGCTTCCTGCGGAGCAGGGAGCCTGATGCGGGTCTCGATCCCAGTACCCTGGGATCATGACCTGAGCCGAAGGCAGACGCTTAATGACTGAGCCACCCAGGCGCCCCCAAGTCTATAGTTGTATGCACTGGATCCTGGATACCCTAATCAAAGTTATTAACTTTTTCTGTGTTCCCACAGTATCAACCTCTATTGAGCATTTAATTATTCTTCCTTGTGTTAAAGTTAGTTGGTCACATAACCAGATTGGCATTTTTCAATGCCAGTTTGGTCAAACTTGGGACCATGACTATTACTGGGTAGTGAAATCAAGTTAGTGGAGCGGTGGTAGGGTGTTGTGACAAGAATATATATTTTTTTAATGGGAATAGAATAGATAAGAATAGCAAATAGAATGTATTATAAATACTAAGGATACTTTTTATGAAACATTTATTTCAGTATATGTATATATATATATGTAAAAATATATTTGTTATTTTGGGTAAGGTAAAGCCCATTTGAAAAATACTTGACTAGACTGAAAAACTATTTTATTAGGAGTCTGATTGATCTTTGCATTCAATTAATTTTATATTATGAGTACTCACTAAATGCTCCTGGAATGTTTATGGTATTTGTCCTAGTAGTCACTGTGTTAACAAAAAAAGAAGGAATTTTACCCAATCAGTTTCTGATTTGGCTTATATGAATGTAGAGATTTTTTGTCAGGGGTGCCTTTGAGTCTACTACCCATTAGTCTTCTTTAGTGAAAGGGGTTTGACAAGGGTATACACTATATTTCCTCCTTTACCTTTACCTTTATTACAGGACTCATCAAAGAATCTTTGCTAGAGCATAATGTAAGGGGTGTGGTCATGATTTAGACTCATTTCCCCTTCCGTTATCCCACAGCATATATTGAGTGCTTACAATTTATCAGGCACTAATATAAGCACTTTCCTTGTATGTAATTTATTTACTCCTTATAGTAACTCTACAGAAGGTGCTTTGTTATCCTCAATTGCATGATGAGAAAACTAAAGCTCAGAAGTAGATTAAATAGATTAAAATCACAGATTTAGTAAACGACCAGGATTTGAATCTAGGCAGTCTGTGGGTGTAATGGAAAGGACACCGCACTGTTCAAGGGCGGAGAGCTCGGCTAGAGGGCTAGTTGGCTCGGAACTTTGCTCAGTCAAGACTCTTTCTTGGGGGCAAGGCTGCTAGACAGAAGGCCTCACAGGATTTTGTCTGTTTTTTGGTATGACTGGGCCCTGAAATTAGGTAAAGAGGAAGATAGACTGAAGTCTCACTTTTCTTTCTTTTCTTTAAAAAAAATTTTTTTTGAGTATAGTTGTCTCTTTTCTTTTCTTTCTTTTTTTTAAGCGGGGAGGGGCAGAGGGAAAGGAGGAGAGACCATTTTAAGCAGGCTCCATGTCCAGCGTGGAGCCAATTGGGTTCAATCTCACAGCCCCAAGATCATGACCTGAGCTGAAATCAAGAGTCAGAGGCTTAACCGGCTGAGCCACCCAGGTGCCCCTAGTTGTCTCTTTTCAATTAATATCTTGATGCTTTGTGGACAGACTTTGAGATAGGTAGCCAGATGCTTTGCCATTTAAGACAAATCCATATTTAGTCTGCCCCTTCCGATTTACTTAAGTTAATTAGCAAATTTTCAGGAACAACTGAATTTTTAAAAATTTAGATACAATTTGCACAATATGAAAGTTACTACTTTGAAGTGTATACCTCCAAGGTTGTACAACCATCACTACCTTCTAATTTGAGAACATTTTCCTCTCCCCAAAAAGAAACCTTGTAAATTAGTAGTCACTTCCCTTTCTCCCCTTCCCTCCAGGCATATACAATATACAAATTTACTTTCTGTCTTTATGGATTTGCCTATTCTGGACACTTCTTATCAATAGAATCATACAATATGTGGCCTTTTATCTGGCTTCTTTTACTTAGCATGATATTTTCAAGGTTAATTCACATTGTACATATGTCAGTGGCCAAATAATATTCCAATATATATGCCACATTCTGTTTATCCATTTATCAGTTGATGAACATTTGGATTGTTTCCAACTTTTTGGCTACTATGAATAATGCTTCCATGTTCATTCATGTATAAGTTTTTGTGTGAATATATGTTTTCAGTTCTCTTGGGTCTATACCTAGACGTTGCTGGGTCATATGGTAACTTTATGTTTAACTTTTTGAGGAACTTCCAAATTGTTTTCCAAAGCAACTACACCATTTTATATTCCCACCAGCAATGTGTGGGAGTTCCAAGTTCCAGTTACTCCACAACCTCTCCAACACTTGTTATTTTGTTTTTTGTTTGTTTGTTTGTTTTATTATATCCATCAAGGTGAGTGTGAGGTGGTATCTCATTATGGTTTTGATTTACATTACTATAATGACTAAAGGAATTGTGCATATGTTCATTTGTTTATTGGCATTTGTATATCTTCTTTGGAGAAATTTCTATGCAAATCCTTTGTCCACTTTTTTTTAAAGATTGTATTTATTTATTTATTATATATGGAGAGAGAATGGGGAGGTCGAGGGGGGAGGATCAGAGGGAGAGGGACAAGCAGACTCTGTGCTGAGCATGGAGCTGGATGCAGGGCTCCATCCGAGGACCCCGAGATCATGACCTGAGCTGAAATCAAAAGTCAGACACTTAACTGACTGAACCACCCAGGCACCCCTGTCCACTTTTTAATTGGGTTGTCTTTTTATTCTCAAATTTTAAGAGTTCTTTATATATTCTGGATCCTAGATTCTCATTAGCTATATGATTTGCAAATATTTCCTCAAATTCTGTGGGTTATTTTTTCACTTTCTAGATAATGTCCTTTGAATCACAAATGTTTTTAGTTTTGATGAAATCCAATTATCTATTTTTATTTTGGTTGCTTGTGCTTTAGGTATCATATCTAAGAAACTGTTGCCTAATCCAAGGTCACAGAAATTTATTATCCTTATGTTTTCTTCTAAGAGTTTTTATAGTTTTAGCTCTTACATTTAGGTCTTTGATCTCTTTTACGTTAATTTTGTATATAGTGTAAAGTAGGTGTCCACATTCATTCTTTTTTTTTTAATAAATAAAATCTTTTTATTTGACAGAGACACAGCAAGAGAGGGAATATGAGCAGGGGGAGTGGGAGAGGGAGAAGCCGGCCTCCCGCTGAGCAGGGAGCCCGATGCGGGGCTTGATCCCAGGACCCTGGGATCATGACCTGAGCTGAAGGCAGACGCTTAACGACTGAGCCACCCAGGCGCCCCTCCACATTCATTCTTTTGTGCATAGATATTTAGCTGTCCTAGTACCATTTATTGAGAAGACTGTTCTTTCCCCATTGAATTATCTTAGTACCTTGTCAAAAATGACTCAACTACAGATGTATAGGTTTATTTCTGGACTTTCAATTCGATTCTACTGATCTGTATGTTTATCCTAGTCCAGTATCACACTATTTTGATTAGTGTAGTTTCAAAGTAAGCTTTGAAATTTTGAAGTACAAATCCTCCAGCTTTGTTCTTTATTTTCAAAATTGTTTTGGCTATTCTGGATCCCTTGAATTTACATATGAATTTTAAGATTGTCAATTTCTGCAAAAAAAAAGAATGATGGAATTTTGATATTGAATTGTAGATCAATTTGGGGAATACTGCCATGTTAACATTTAATGGGTCTTCTGACACAGGAAGACAAAGTGTCTTTTCATTTGTTTAATTTCTTTTAACAGTTTTTGTAGTTTTCAGTCCTGTATTTATTTTGTCACTCTTGTTTTTTGGTACTGTTGGATTGAATCGCTTTCTTAATTTCATTTTCAGATTGTTCATTACTAATGTATAGAAATACAACTGATCTTTGTACATTAATCTTGTATCCTGTAACCTTTCTAAATTTGTTTTTTAGCTTGTGTACATGTGTATTCCTTTAGGATTTTCTATATCCAGGATCATGTCATTTGCAAATAGAGATAATTTTTTACTTTTTCCATTCTAATCTGGATGCTTTTTATTTTATTTTCAAATTTAATGCTGGAATCCAGGCTAGAGCTTTCAGTACAATGTTAAATTAAAGTGGCGGGAGTAGCTATCTTGTCATGTTCCTGATCTTAGGGAGATAGCTTTCAGTCTTTAACCATTAAATATGATGTTAACTTTGGGTATTTTGTGGATGCCCTTTGTTAGTTCTATTGCTAGTTTATTGAGTGCTTTTATCATGAGAGGATGTTGGATTTTGTCAAATATTTTTTCTGTGGGTATTAAGATGATCATGTGTTTATTTTTTCCTATATTCTATTAATATAGTGTACTACATTGATGTTAAATGTTGAAACAAGTTTTTATTCCTAGGATAAGTCTCCCTTTGTCAAATTGTGTAAGCCTTTTTATATGCTGCTGGATTAATTGTTTTGTTAGTATATGCTTCTAGTATTTAATTGAGGATATTTGCATTTATAGTAACTTATAAGGAATATTGATCCATATTAGTAGTAGTACTACTAGTAGTAGTAGGTAGTTAGTAGTAATTAGTAGTAGTCGTAGTAGGAGTAGTAGGGGTGTTTGTGTGTGTTTGTGTGTGATATCTTTGACTGGGTTTAATATCTGTGTACTCCTGGCCTCAGGCTAGTCACTTCATTTTTGAAGGATAGTTTTTGCTGGATTTAGAAACCTTGGTTGACAGGCTATTTTTTCTTTTAGAACTTTGAGTGTGTCATCTCTCTTCTGATTCTATGGTTTCTGATGAGAATTCAGCTGTTAATCATATTGAACATCCTTTGAATGTGATAAAT